TATATATTAGTCTTACGTCAAATGGCTTAAAGTTGTTCTCAAAATGATCAAATTTGCAAACTGAAAGTTGACTCATAGAAACTTACTTCCGACGTGAGGATAAGTTTCGTTTTGGCAATTTCCAGTCTCACGCCATTCGCTGCCATAGTACCAATTTTTCCATTCACTTTGATGCGTTCATTTAGAAACGTCCCCTGCAATCAAGACATCCGGTCTAACTAAGAGACTGTAACATGCAGAGGAAGCTATCAAGCACTCCTGTTGCACATTTTACTCTAAGCCTGATGTCTCCAATATACACAAACGGTAATTCTTATTAAAATACTTGTAGAAAATGATAAGTATGCGAATTACGATATTAAATCACAATATGGAGACAATGTTACTCTATATGAAACTACAGGAAGATTTCCCAGAACTAGATTTTAAAAAATTTGTGACCGTCCTGTAGACTCATCGAAGCATTTAAGGGCTGAAATGAGATGTGCAAGACGGTTATTTTAATTTTCCTTCATCCCCCAAAAGTTGCAGAACTTTTATTAGAACTGCAACATCAGAAAAGATGAGGCAATCCCTTTCACAATAAAAATATTAATAATTCAAAAAACTTACAAAATCGTTCACATTCATAATACCATCTTCAACAGGATTTTTACATTCAATATGATATTTTACACTTTGCTTCTTCTTCTTTTTCTTCGTCTTACCGCCTTCCCATTTCTTGCTCCGTTTTGGTACGCTCTGCTTCTTAACTTTCGGTGCTACTACCATTACTGTAATTTCAACTCATTCTTAACCATTAAATCACCCAATCTTAATCGAATCAACCCGAAAGACAATAAACGGAACTAATCTGAAAGACAGATAAACGGAACCAATCTGAAAGACAGATAAACGGAACCAATACGAAAGACAGATAAACGGAACCAATACGAAAGACAGATAAACAACGCAACAAAAAACCCAATCAAGTTACCAAACACAAACCAACCCCAAAACTCATATACTCAGTATAGGCTACCGCTCCCTATGAAAATTTCCATCTCATAGATAAAATTTTAAGCTGTTCATTCGAAGATGAATAATTTCACGTATCTACTGTTTGAAGATAGATTTTCAGGATTAGTATTAATGAAATTAGATATCGAATTTACGGATGTTTAGGAATTTTATTAAAGCCTAACTTATTCTAATTACTCTCAACAATTAAATTAACATGGTGCTACTAAATAGCGAAGAACATCATAGGAATAATAAAATAGCAAAAGTAAATCTGCCAAAGATTTCTGAAATTGGCAATAAATATTGAATGAAAGCAATTATCTTATGAATCATATTTTTATTGAGCTTCTTGATGATTGGAACAAATTCGAAATATTACAAATGTATATTCCTTCTGATTCTCCTTGATGATTCCTTGATGATCATTCATTCAATTGTAACAAATTTACTACAGCTAAATTATTAAGAGCAAAACTAAAATCATTTTATTATTATGCTATTTTTGCTCAGAAATTCTTGACGGTGTGATAATCAGTAATTAATTTTTGTATACATATATTCAAAAAAGTAATTAAACGATGTTGTATGAGTTAAATTAAATGCAAAAAAAAATCTTCCGGCAAATTAGATACAGATAAGCCAGATATATTAGATGCAATAAGCCAGGTAAATTAGATGCAATAAGCCAGATAAATTAGATGCAATAAGCCAGGTAAATTAGATGCAGTAAGCCAGGTACATTAGATGCAATAAGCCAGATAAATTAGATGCAATAAGCCAGGTAAATTAGATGCAATAAGCTACAGTAAAATACTCAAAATTCTATTAGAGAATACTTTGGAGGATTAGTAGTTATCTGATGAAATAACTAAAATCATTCAAATTAATCAATAGTGATAAATTATGAAATAAAGAAAGCCTTTTATATTGTAGCATTTTATTAAATGAGAAAGAAATTGATTGAGGAAGTTATTTGCATAATTGAATTTATTACCTATAATACTATTCTTTTTGAATTTACGCTTTTATACTTCTACCATTAAAGAATTAAATTTCATTTTATCAAAGAATTAATTCTATCACATGTATTACGCTAATACTATAATAGAAATAAAAACGAAGCTTAACTATTAATTAAAGGAAAAAAGCGAACTCCCCGGCCGGGAATCGAACCCGGGTCTCGCACGTGACAGGCGCGGATACTCACCACTATACTACCGAGGACTACAAGTTCAACGATGATCATATGTCATATTTTTTTCACCTTTTGAATTAAAATTAATGAATGGATAATTTGTTACTAAATGTTGTGACCTTATGAAGATTTCGGCGTTAGTTGAGAAAGTGATATTTTCGAAACTATCGCTGATAAGTTTAAATTAAAAAAAGAAAGGAACTATTTTGTAGATATCTTTGATATAGCTAATATTCGAAATTAAATATTTGATAGAAATGAATTAATTAAAATTTCCATTATTCGCTTTTGTGGTGCTAATAATATTTATGCAATATTTCAGGTATACATTATAAGAATTTTATAGTTAAAAAGGAATTATTTTGTAGATATCTTTGATATAGCTATATTCGAAATTAAATATTTGATAGAAATGAATTAATTAAAATTTCCATTATTGGTTTTTTAGATATCTTTGATATATTTGATATATTTAGATATCTTTGATATATTTTGTATCTTTGATACATCTATTTTGTAGATATCTTTTTTAGATATCTTTGATATTATCTATTTTGTAGATATTTTTGATATAGCTAATATTCGAAATTAAATATTTGATATTAATTAAAATTTCTACTATTCGTTTTTGTGATGCTAATATTTATACAATATTTCAGGTATATACTATAAAATTTTATAGTTTAAAAGAAGTGATAATATTTTTAAAAAATTTCTCCCTCTTTATCAATTAAATCGAGAAGTTATGCATTTGTTGTGCTTATCAACTTCATTTTATGCAAAACATTTTTTTTCAATCCTAAATTTCGATTAAAATTCGGTTCATTTCAATTTAGTTAAATTCGGTTCATTTCAATTTAGTTAAATTCGGTTTATTTCAATTTAGTTAATTCGGTTCATTTCAATTTAATTAAATTCGGTTCATTTCAATTTAGTTAAATTCGGTTCATTTCAATTTAGTTAAATTCGATTTCCTTTCCGTTAACGTTATCAATTTTCGTTTTTAGTTTCGAATTTGTAATAGTGTATGTAACAAAGTGGGATTGGAATGAGAATGCTATATAATATAAAATAATATTTATTCAAATTCGAAATAATTATTATTCAATTTATCAATTAATTAACAAACAACTATCCTATGACAATGAAAGAAATAATAATTCATTCATCGATTGATTATTTTTTTTTAAATTTTAATTTTGAAATAACAATATGTGTTAAAGAGAATTTCCTGCAATATTAATTATATTATTGTAATAGGCGATAATACTAAATGATATTTGGTATTTAATTAATTTATTTATCTAGTATTTATGTATTTAATTATTTAATTTACTATAAGAGGTACAATTGAATTTTCATTAAAATTTGCGCTAAGTTAAAAAAAAACTCAAACAATACTTTATTTCATAATTCAGAAAAGAACAAAAAAGAAACCGGCAATTTCTGGATAGTTAAATTTCGTTAAATATTTCAATTTATCAGTTTTATCATATGAACTTTTCTCAAGTAGCTTTCTTAGTAAAATTGATTATAATCTTCGTAAAAGGTCGAATTATTCTCATAAGATTCCATTCCGGATTCTGATTTTCTAAGTTGCACAAATGCAGCAGCTGATTTAGATCGTTTTCTGTGTGCACTTCGAACTCGAGCAACATGACGTGTAATAGATAAATCTTGACGAACTGATCGATATAACGGCAAACGAGATGATGTAGCATAGGAATTATAACGTGTTCGAGTTAATTCACGTGTTTCGTGACAGAAACCATTTCTCATCTCTCTCTGCTCTGAAAACATTCGAAATTAATTTAACTAAAACATAACTGTTTTGTTTTTAAAAATGTTTCATTTAACCTTAAAATTCTAGCTGATTTAACGATTATCAATTAATCAGCCTAAAGATGAAGATAATTAATTAATTAATTTAGTGCGAAAAATAAAAACATCTCTTTCTATTATTTAAAAATTTTAAAACATTACCATAATCATTTTTTCTATCACACCATTTTTTATAGCGTTGTCGAAGTGATGTGTGAATCATTCCAGATTCTTTCGTACATTCTGATAATGTATCATTCGTATTTGCACGTGAAACAGATCGTGAATCAATACCAGAATCTATCAGAGAGAAATCATTGCCATAAGTTGATAAATTATTCTCACAAAGATCAATATCAGTAAATGCATTTACCTGTAAATATACTACTGAACAACAACATTAACAAATATCGTAACATAAAGATTGAAATTAAAATTCTATTTTAAAATTAAAATTTAAACTTAAATAATTTCAACTTACATACTATCATAAATAACAAAGAAAGATAATTAAAACAAAAAATTTATGCTAAATATATAATTAACATTTATAATAGCGTGATTGTGTTAAGTTGGAGAGATAGATAAACATAGAAAACAAAAGCTTAAATAAATTAATTAAATAAACAATTTTAAAACTTTAGTATAATTTATTAACCATCTTGGCAGTATTAGGCCATTGTTTGAGATTGATGATATTTTCATCTTTCATCCTTAAGATATTATTATTTCCTTTCGTTTTTGTAATCCTCGTATCTGCATCGGATGCTGCAAAATAGCGCTTATATCAAATAGTTTCATTTAAAATTAAAAATTTTTAATTTTATATAAAATTTTCTTTCATAACTTTCTTTCATACAAATGAATTATACCTGTACTATCAGTGTTCCAAAAATAGTGTATCATTACAAACTATCACATACGAATGAATTATACCTGTACTATCAGTGTTCCAAAAATAGTCTATCATTACAAACTATCACATACGAATGAATTATACCTGTACTATCAGTGTTCCAAAAATAGTCTATCATTACAAACTATCACAAACGATGTACTATCAATGTTCCAAAAATAGTGTAACATTACAAACTATCAAATATGAATGAATTATACCTGTACTATCAGTGTTCCAAAAATAGTTTATCATTACAATTAACAAATCATGAATAAATCGAAATAAAACAATGATTAATGTCCATAAAACTGATGCAACGATTAGTGTTGATGATGAAATTGTCGAAGAATTAGACGATAAAGCCTTAAAAGAAAAGCCTTTCATTGCTAAATTAATTCATTTCAAAAGAAAATAAGAAATTTCATTTTGAAACTATCAAAAGAACAAAAATGCAAAAAAATTATTTACAGCTTTTTTAGCTTTGAAAATTTTAGAACAATTTTTTTTTCTTGAAAAATATTAAAATAATTAATACTCTATGCAAAAATATACTTTTCAATATATGTAAAATAAATTTCAATAATTTTTAATGAAATTATAATAATTAAAAAATTCCTACATGCTTGCAAATTTTTTGCGATATTGCATTTTGCTTCTTTCGATTACATTGATTGCATTCATTAGTCTAAAATTTATTATCTTATCAGTAATTTTAGCTGTTGATAAATTCAAAATTTAAAGCATTTATCATTTTAAAAAGATAAAATACATTATCTTATCAATGACTTTAGCTATTGATAAATTCGAAATTTAAAGCATTTATCATTTTAAAAGGTAAAATTTATTATCTTATCAGTAATTTTAGCTATCGATAAATTCGAATTTAAAATATTTGTCATTTTAAAAAGGTAAAATTTGTTATCCTATCAATAACTTCAGCTATTGATAAATTCAAATTTAAAGCATTTATTATTTTAAAAAGGTAAAATTTATTATCTTATTAATAACTTTAGCTATTGATAAATTCAAATTTAAAGCATTTATCATTTTAAAAAGGTAAAATTTGTTATCTTATCAATAACTTTAGCTATTGATAAGTTCAAATTTAAAGTATTTATCATCTCAAAAAAGTTATTTGAAAAAATTTATATTTCTAATAAAATTTAAAAATTAAAATAAATGAGAGATTTTTAAAATAAAAATGATACATTTAGATATAAATCATTTTTTGAGAATTATATTTATAATTAAAAAAATTAATGAATAACTCAAAATGATCAATTCAATTTATTCATTATCAAAAATATCGAATTCAATTATTTCACCTATACAATATATCAAATAGCATTATACCTTTATTTTCATAGCCACATTTCTTCGTCCATTCATTTGTACTGTAAGAAATATATATATATATATTATTTTATATTATATTATTATATATTATTTGAATTCCTTTTTGCTCATTTACATGTACTGCTCAATTTCATACTCAAATTTAAATTTTCTTATAAACAACTGTTGCATTTTATAGAAAGGATAAATGAACAAAAAGGAATTAAAGTATTAATAAGATAGGAAAAAATTATAATTATAAATTTTCCTATAATTCTTTTTCCTGTAAGGGAAAGTTAAAATAATAATAATAATTTATATCGTTAATTAAAATTAGGAATAATTTTATTTGAGTAAAAAATTTTCAAATTTATCATTTAAAAAAAAATTTATCATTTATCATTATCAAATTTATCATTTAAATGAGTAGTATGAATAGAGCGAGAGAGAAAAGGTAGAAAATGTATAGTAAAACTTATATTAAAATATATGTATATTAGAAGTAGTAAGAAATATGTATACTAAAATATTAAAACTTCAACTTATATCAATACAGTAATTAAATGATAAAAGAAATATAAAAAAATATATATATATATATATATGAAAATATTAAAACTTCAACTTATATCAATACAGTAATTAAATGATAAAAGAACTATTAAGGAATATATATATTAAAATATTAAAACTTCAACTTATATCGATGCAGTAATTAAATGATAAAAGAACTATTCAGAAACATATATATTTATTAAAATATTATAACTTCAACTTATATCAATGCAGTAATTAAATGATAAAATAAAATTGAATGATAAAAATGAAATCAAAATGATAAGATAAAAAGATAAAATGAAAAAGTATTATCACGTAAAATTTGAAACTTCTTTTTCTCAAAAAATTTTTCCTTAATTAAATTAAAAAAATAGCATAGAACAATAATACATGTTCATTATAATAAAGACTTAATTATTATTTATATTTGAACTTTTCTATTTAGCATTAGCTTATCAAATTTCTACATACTAAATCAATTTGAAGAAGATTTGTTAAACATTTTAAATAATCTTCAACTATAGCATAGTGAAATTTAATATTGAAAAATTATATTATGTTATTCTTTCCTCTTCTATTCAATCATTATCAAATGATATTATTGGAAAGATTTTCAACGTATTAAATGAATTCATTTCAAAACTTCTAAATTAATAACAACAATTAAAAATTCAAATTTTTAATTCTACTAATGAAACATTATCAGATGACAACATGAAAGTAATTATTAAGATGTGGAAAAAGTTGAAAAGATAAAATGATGTACTTCGAATAAGTTAACAAATCTTATTCTCTCTCTTTCATACAGCAAATACTAATACATGTTAGCAACAACAGCTGTTTCACTATTTCCGCTTTTTCTTTTTTTCAACAGTTATCGATAACTTAACGTTTGCCTGTTACGTTAAAGAGCAAAAAACATAAACGTTTTCCGAAATGTAAAATGGAAAAACCGAATTATAAATTCAAGAATCCTATTATAAAGATGATGATGGTGCAGCTAAATCTCTAACAAATTTCATTTATAAGATTTTCAGTATTTCTTTTTTTTCACTATCTTCTTTGTTATTTTCTTTGTATGAATAATTTTCAGCAACGATACATTTCATTTGATAAGATTTCATAATTCTTATCATTTACAAATTCATTTAAAACAGAGTAAGAGAACCTGGAATGATAAAACTGAAACAATATTTCGTTTTAAGCCTTCAACATTGATCGAAAAAGCCTTCGACAATCGACATTGAAAATGGTTGTCAATTCAACTCATAAACTCATTTTTCTAACCCGTTCATTTGCTGACTGCTTATCTTATTTTAACTTACAGATATTACTCTGTGATTTGAACAAGGCTGAGAAGGTAACATTTTATACTATTTGATTAGCTCGATTCATTTTACAGTTTCAATTAATATATATGTTATCTTTTTTTCTTTTTCGGAATGCCAATAAATCCACATTGTTATCACCGCCGGGTGGCACGTAATATATGTCCACCACCTTCGAAAGGCATCGCATTACCGGACTTCTTCCCTTTTGCTGCTTCGGCTAATTCTTTCTCCATCAGTGAACGACATTTATACTCATACCTGTAATATTAAAAAAATTTAAACCAAGTATTTATTTTTATATTTCTCTCTGAATTTAATTTTGATGAACCAGGAGTCTCCAACTAAAAACAAGCTTACGACTCATCAGAATGCTAAAGTGAAACCACATATGTTGGAACTTTTAAGCTAATCATGATTACGTCATAAAATGCACTAGAAAAAAAGATACATATCGATGCCCAAACAGTCTTATATGTCAGGAGAAAACGGAACTATTCTAATAGTTTGTATCATAAATTTACTACGAAAATTAAAACTCTGAATGCATCATTAAGAGATTAAACTGTATCGAATAATTCCTTAAAGATAAAATTTCAAGTCAGAGATGATTGTAGCCTAAATCTTCAACAAAAGAAATGCTGGTTTTCTTTTACTACAAAAAAAGAAAGAGAGCCAACCTTACAAATTCCAGTTTTCCCGGACTATAATTGGTATTAACGGTTAACTGAGGAAGTGATCGCTCAGCTGCTTCCATTTCAGTCAGTGAAGTTGTCGATGACTTCAATTTTCCGTCTAAACGATGACCCGTACCAGTAAATGCTCTGAATCTACTACCACTCTTCATTCCTGTTTCATCTACTGCTGGCGCTGATGACATCGATGGCTGAAAACGATTAATTTTGCTCCATCTACAATTTTTCTACAAATTCAATCTTTGATAATCAATTGTTCAAATAAGAATTTGTTTACCAATTAAAACAAATAGCACAAAGTTATCATACAAATCGGACTCCTCGCCCTAACATTCAGTGCCTAAAAAAAATAAACTGTTGTCCACCATCTCAATCACTGAAGCCACTAAGTTGATATGTCATAAAATTTTACATCCTTATCCTCTTCTCTTCAAAATTACGATAGTGATGAAAAAAAATGCATTGCGTTACTTTAACAATCGTTTTCTAATACTTCATCTGCAATACGGAAAATTATAACACGCGAAACTTACCGCTGCAAACGAGCTAGATGTTGCATTTGTATTAGGTTCAACGTAACCTTCTGGTGCATCAAATTCCACATTCATGTCACATTCGATGATTGAAACAGCTCTTCCAGGTTTTACTTCCATCACCAAAAATTCCAAAATTTGATCGTTGTACTAAAGAAAAAAAACTTTATTGATAAGGAAAAAAATTACTCCAACAATGCTTCGAGAACGACCAAATAAATTTTTAAGCATTACACTAACCTTCATAAATAAAAAACAAAAATCTTCGTTACTCTTATGAAATGTTTGCATCCTAACCCATTTACGGTTGAATTAAAATGGTGAAAGAAAGGGAAAAAATTATTTTTAAAATGATAGAATTATTATACAATATGTCTTGGAGCTACTGCAATTTAATTGAATTAATAACTACAAATTTCAACATCAAAATAATATATATCTTATACTTTCATAGTTCAAGCTTGCAAATCAAATGAATGAACCGCCGTTACTCGCAGTTCAGAAGTAGAAAAGATATCAAGATAACTAACAAGAAGATAAGATAAATTGTGATTCATATCCTATTTCTACTGACAGTCTAATTCCAAAACAGCCATTGGTATCAATCTTCCCTCAGTTTTCTTCCTTACTGCCTCGTCGCAGAGGGCTGAAATTACAAACTGGCTACCCTAGTGTTATACTCCTATTACTTGATATCTAAAAACTGTCCAATTTGTCCGTGTGTTGCTTTCGTCATCACTAGAAGCTTGATTATTCCTAGTATCCTTCCCTATTGATGCACTTATTCTCTTCCAAACAGCTGAAATCTGGATTGAAAATTATCCTTACTACATAATTCTGAAGTTCTTTATGGAGTTGTATACTATTTCCATCACACTGTAAATGATTTAAGATAAAAATCCCGAATGTCACCTCAACAGCAATAATGTCGCCCTTTGTAAGACATGCAAATTTCCGTAGTTCCACCTCGAGCACAGCTCTTGGATTTGAAATAGCCAGAAAATCCGCAGACTGCGGTTTTAGCTTCGTATATGTAGCTTTAGGTAATGTTGCATATGTTATTCGAACACATTCACCCTCATTAAGATGCAATTGACGCATCATCTAAAAGGAAAATGGTAAGCTTCCGAGACATAACTTTAACGAGATTATCAAGGTGTCTAGCGCATTTAATTTGCTACATCATGTTGTGAGATATTCCGCATATATTTATTATGCGAGTTAAGCACTCAAAAGAGCACCTGACCATAAAAACAAAAATTACATTTTTCATTATTTTTTATGAATTAGCTCATCTTTCATATTATATCAATGATTTTAATAGCTTAACTGTACACATCATATAACTCACCCATGATGGAAGATAACAACGACCCTCTTCAGCTAAGAATTCCAAGACGCCACAATGGGTCGAACATCCTGAGTCATTTAAATTTTGCACTCTGAACATCATCGGATATTCGATGTTGAGACGAACTAATAGATCCAAAGCCGATGGTGGAAGTAAAATCTAAACAAAAAATTATAGGCTATATAGGACAGCAATATGGAATAAATTTTAAAAAAATTAGGATTATTGAATATCCTTTCAAAATTTCCTTCAAATATTTTTTCTGATGGATTAAATATTATAAATAAATCTTCGTGATTTAAATACTACTTAGTTAATGAATGAAAATTGATTTCCATTTTACTCAGAATTATGGTTGAAAAAATACAGGATTTTGAGTATTCTTTCTAGTGCTTTTAGAAACATATGCATAAATCAAAACCCTGCATTTTTCCAACTCATAATTCTAAGTAAAAACGGAAATCAATTTTTCTTCTGCCAATCGGAAATCATTTCTTTGTTGATTTAATTAGATAAAACAAAATGCCTTTTGTATATTTAAAAATAAAATGATAGGAAATTTTCTGTTACTTATATCTAAAGATCAGACAATGAAAACGCGTTTTCCCTTCACTTATAGCAACAGGCAAGGAAGTGAAATGACCTTTTTCCTTATATAAAATACAATGAAATATTTCATACATATTTGATTCTGAGATTTTTTTAATATGAAGAAAAATAGGAATTTATACTACCTTCCCACCATGATTCAACTCATTTATTTTCTTCGTATCCGCTCCTTCATAAAACGCTGCCGAGAAGCATCGAAGTTGCAAATCAAAGGGACGTATTGGTGCTCCAAACATCATCGCTCCAAAACCATCGAACATGTTTGCCGTTTAATTTATATGCTGAAATGATTTCTTTGCCTACATATTTATTTTACTTGAGAGCTATGGAATTCGTACGTCTTATAATGCCTACATTTTCTTCCTTTATTCATTTATCAGCAACCATAATCATAATCTTACAATGCCAATTAATATTAACAATACTTCATGAAATTTCTTCTATTATTGGAAAATTACACGAAGTGACAGAGATGCCTTCTTACTTCACATAGTATTTCATTAAAGAATCCATACAAATACTTCACATAGTATTTCAAATACTTCACATAGTATTTCATTAAAGAATCCAAGAAAATTTTCCTAGTGGGAAAAATCAAAACAATTTTAAAATAAAGAGTATCCACGTCTAAAGAGTGACACAACTTAAAGTATTGTTAGCAGAAATTGAAAAGAAGAAAATACAGCGAATTTCAACAAATGGATAGAGAATGAGAAACTAACGAAAAAGCATGATTTGCGGAAACTTCAAATATCTCTTAAAAATAACGGTAATAACGATGGAATGCCAACAAACAGATATAAAATGGCTGAAGAGACGGCATAATTAATGTAAGTAACGAATATATACACGTAACAGCGATAGCAAAGACTGAAAGTATCCAAACATCAATAAAATTTAGTTACAGTGGAAAAAATGGGCAAAATTTTAACGAACTCATTAAGCAAATATATGTCTCATTGTGATGGTTACAAACAAAAGCAAAAATGTTACGAACTTATTAGGTTCCATTAGGGTTTGCTAGAGTTGTTATGCCGTTCAAGGTTTCGCAGAAGTAATACACAAGCAGTCCGAAAAACAGTTACATTTGCCAAGACTGCATGGGATAGAAGCATTTTCATATTGCTCCATGTGTTACGGAGAATCAATTCCGTGTTCGAGTACCTCAGATTTATGCGGGAAACCTGCAACCGCGATGGATGAGGGAATTTGGTGTGTTACACGGGGTGAGTGGAATTGGAGTGTTTTACGCGGGACTTTACGTCCATAGGAATTTTCCTACCACTGGCTTCTACTTAGATTTCATGTAACTCTAGTAGAAATTTTTCTGCCGCGAGAAATTGAAATTGTCATGTTGAAATAGTTTTTCCCTTTAATTTAAAATCCTTTATATTGATTTTTATAACGGATTTAAGGTACAAGAAGAATGGCTCAGGAGGAGCTATTAGAAGTATTACAACGGACCGCTTCATTAAGTAAGTTGTTTCGTAATTTTTATCTTTTTGTAATTATATCTTAAAAATCTTGTATCAGGTCTAATGCTATGAATGAAGCTGATAAGGGATGAGTACTAATAACACATAGAAGAGAATGGTAACTACTAATTCATGAGATTAATAGAAATGAAAGAGTTGAATAGTCATGATATGGTTGGGAGTGACGACTTGCACTGGATGACCTATCGAAAGTCCTGGTATTACGAGATGCCATCTTTAATTTCTATTTGGAAACAAAAAGCTAATTCTAAGCATTAAGAGAATATCTATGCTTGATTTACACTCCGTAAGTTTCTATCCTTCAATCCTTGCTATGAAAATTTAAGTTGAACAGGATGAAGAAAATAGTAAGGAATTCAAAGTTGCTTATATATCTTTTGGAATTGGCATAATTAATAATTTTTTAGATCCAAATGATCAGATTCTTGCGTTGGATTATTTGCGACGTGCATGTGTTACTAATTTTGTAAGTTGCTTTCCTCGCTCAACTTTCTTTGATACTTCAAAACTTTTTTCAAAAGAAGTTTGGTTTGTGGTAACAGTTGAAAAAAAAGTGCTATTTGATTATTCGTTCCATTCCTGATATAAATGCAAAACGATGAAAAGCACCTAAAAATTGCCAATGCTTGTTGCTAAGCGATCGGATAACAAAAAGTAATGAAGTTAAGTGAGCCTTATCACGTGCGTAAAATTTTCAGCCAGAATTCGCAAAACAGCTCTCAACGGTTCTTGCAACACCATCCTATTCAAATTTTGTAAGGCAAGCTGCAGGTTTGCAACTGAAAAATGTTTTGGTCGCAAAAGAAGATGTGACGAAAAATGAATATCTTACAAGGTAGCGTAATGTAATGATTCGACAAAAGAAGTTAGGCGGAGATAAGTATAATGTTGAACAAGAAAAAAGGATTTCGCATAGTAGACTTACTAGTTGTTTTTGAAGTGTATTGAATTTCTTATATTAGATCGAAATAGTGAGATGCTCCGAGAAATCTGTTTACCTAGACGTAATAATTTTTTTCTTTACCATCAAAGTCAAGGAGAAAAAACTTCAGAAATGGAGGAGATGGTCTTGTTTATTAAAAAAAAATTGATGCGCTAGTGAATAAAAATATTTTTAGGTGGCTTGCTTTGCCAGTAGATGTTCGAGAATTTGTGAAGCAAAATGTAGTTCGTACTCTTGGTACTGAACCGTTTAGGCCATCCATTGCAGCTCAATGTGTTGCTGCTATAGCGTGTGCTGAAATACCTTCACAGGTAGATTTTTTAAATTGAATTTATTGTGAGAGTTATATGTTAACCATGTGAGGTGATAATCCTGAATAAACGGCTGGACTGAATAATGTGTCGTGATAGTAATTTATGTAACAAATTAGGTTTTATAAAAAGTTGATTATTTATTGGATTTAGCTATTTTTACTGAAATTCTCAGTAGTCGTTGTTTTAGATTTTCAGTGTTTAATAAAAAGAAAAATGCCGATAGAGAAAGATCGTAGAATGTCTTGATGGAATGCATTGCGCCTTACTAAAACTAAAGGGATTAGATGCACTAAAGATGAAGATAATTATGAAAATCCTTCAAAATATTATTTCAGATGTGGCCGGACGTTATAACCCATTTGAGGGATAGCGTAATAGCAACGAATAACAGTGAAATATTAAGGGAAGCATCGCTAGAGGTAACTCGTTATCTCATAATGTCTTTTTTTTTCACGTAGTTTTTCTTGTAATTTTCCGTAAAGTCGTATTAGATTAAAATTTGAGCAAGTCTTTGAACATTTTCATAAAACGAAATTGTGATTCTCAAAAGTTGTCGTAAGTCGCAGTTATTATGTTATCAGTTATGATCAGCAGTTATTTGTCTTAATTTTCTTTTTAGGCCCTGGGTTACATTTGTCAAGATATATGCGGATCATTATTAGAAAGAGAATCTAATCAGATTTTAACCGCCATTGTTCATGGATTGCGAAAAGATGAACCGTCCAACCATATTCGTCTTGCAGCTGCTAATGCTATGTTAAATTCGATTGAATTCACGAAACATAACTTCAGCAGAGAGGTCTTCTTTTTTTTCTGAATGTTTAAAAATGCGAAATTGCGTATTGCCCAACGTGGAATCTAATTGAATTGGCTTTAATTTCGAGCTCTTTATACATTTCTTCAAAAAGCAGCTTGTGCTTCTTTCCTTTAATGCCTATCTTTCTTATGGTATGAAGCATACCGAAGAAATCATCGTAAATGTTTAACGAGTCTGTAGGAAGGCAATGACTCTTCTGAAATAGTGAAATATTTTACAAACATTCTCTAAGGATATACTAAACTTCTGATCCACTACAGAGGATATCCTAAAAGTGATATTTTTTTCATTTATTATCAGTTATTTTTTTCAGTGTAGTGCAGTAAATTTTGGAAAAAGTTCACAGTATTTATTTTAGAACGAGCGACATATGATTATGCAAGTGGTATGTGAGTCATCTCAGTGCCCTGAAACAGCCGTTAAAGTAGTGGCCATGCAATGTCTAGTCAGGATTATGTCACTCTATTATCAGTTTATGGAGCAGTATATGGATGCACTTTTTCCGGTATGATTTCTGAAATCTTATTTGATGGATTTGGATTTTCTCTTGACTTATGTCGTATCTGTCATCAAATACTTAAGCTTTATGTTTCTCTCCATTTAATTTGCGCCAATCAGGTTGTATATTAACTGCGAAAAATCATTGGAGAGTTGTTTTTGAAACTCTCATTTGGTAAGTCTTTGGTAACAATGAAAATAACTGTATAATGTCAAATATGTTGTCATGAGGATACGTTTTTCAGATTAGTTTAAATGCAATGAAGTCTCAAATCAATGAAGTGGCTTTACAAGGAATCGAATTTTGGTCTAATGTTTGTGAAGAAGAGATATCTCTATCCGTAGAAGCCGAAGAAGCTCGGGAACAAGGCCGTGCTCCTGAAAGTGTTTCACGTCATTATGCACGTGGTATGTTCACATTTGGTTGGCTTTGGTTAGAATTTGTGCTTAGACCGAAGATTACACATGAGTGTAATGAAATTATTATATAGTATATTCTTCCATGATTGTTAGTCTCCAGGCATGGCAATCGTAATTAAGGAATAAATGCTCAGAAAGGATATGGCATCATCAAGCATTAGATCAATTAGATCAAAATGACAAGTAATTCTGACTCTCATAGGCAACTCTTTAACCTCTCTGTTGCATCATTTCAGGAGCTTTAACTCATTTGATACCTATTCTTACTGAAACATTGGCTAAACAGGAGGAAAGCGACGATGAGGATGATTGGAATCCAGCGAAAGCAGCTGGCGTATGCATAATGCTTCTTGCACAGTGCACCGGTGACTCCATTGTTGAGCCAATTTTGCCTTTCATCCAACAACATTTAAAGAATCCTAGCTGGAGGTAATTTTCCTTTTTGTTTCTTTTTCCTATTCAAGCAGGATATTTTTAGTTAAAGTATTGCCTAATTCATCTTAATTACATTTTGTTTCTTTAATATAGATATCGGGAAGCATCTATAATGGCATTTGGATCGATATTAGATGGACCGAACGAAGCAGTCCTAACGCAGTTAGTTGAATCAGCACTAACAAGTATTATTAGTTCGTTATCTGATCCTCAGGTGAGTGATAATTTCAATTTTAATAAATCTGAATACGTCTAATGAGTCTCGTTCCGAGGTCATTGTTACGTGGTGCTTGAGATTCAGACATAAGGATATTTTAAAAATTGTAGAAGCGTTAAC